GCTGCTGCTACTCACACGAAATCAAGAAATGCATTTTCCTTAAGTCATGCGCCAGCCACGCCACGCCACGCCACACCGCTTTTCCCACTGGTGGTGTTGCTGCTGATGTGCTGCGCCAGTGGGTGTATTGCTGCTGCACCCGCCACACAGTACCGCTGTGGGTTTGACATGGTGATGATGAGGAGCGACCCGCTGTTGACTGCGGTGGTGCGTGAGGTGCCGCGCAATGGACAAGGCGCCATGCAGGCGTACACCGTCGCCACACAGGATGACGACAGTGGCTGGGAGCCGATCCGCATTGCGGTTTCCACGGAGGATCTGGAGAGAGGCACGAACAAGAGGAAGAATTACTGCGAAGAGGGAGAGGATGAGTGCTACAATGCATTGGGGCACAAGTTATCATGCAAAGCAGAGCATTTCCTGACGGAGGCAAAGAAACAATTGTACACTGGGAAGATTTTCCCGGTGACGTCAAACTGCACACTGAGCGACTAATTGTGAAACCCACTGGTGGGACGATAACTGTACCGAGGGCTATGAATGGACCGTGCAGCCACTTTACGGTTCCTACCAGGCACAAGAGTGACGGTGTGCCGAATGCAGATTTTATCATCTACGCTGCTGCTAGGCCATCAGGCACGAATAGCAGGGCTGTGTGGGCGGCCACGTGTAACACACTGAGTGATCTTCGTCCCCCCATTGGCGCCATGAACTTTGATCTGAAGTACATGACTGACACGGCGTGGAGCGTTCGCGTTGCCGCACACGAACTTGCGCATGCACTTGGGTTCAACCAGGAGAGCATGAGAGAAAAGAGCCTGGTGAAGAAGCGAGAGAGAAGTGTGCGTGGGACGCACCGCAGGATGGTGGCAGGGAAGCACGTTCAGGAGAAGGCGAAAGCGCACTTTGGTTGTAAGTTTCTCTCGAGGGCATGGTGCTGGAGGATGAAGATGGCCCTCGGGAAAAAGAAATCCTTCACTGGAAGGGACGCCACGCGCGGGACGAGCTGATGGCCCCCACAGTTGGTGCCGGCTACTACACGGCTCTGACGATGGCGGTTTTCGCGGATATGGGATACTACCGCGTGAATTGGAGCATGGCGGAGCCGATGAGCTGGGGCCACCGCAGTGTCTGCGACTTCCTGGTCAACAAGTGCAATACAACCTATAATCTTGCCGCCAAGTATCCTCACATGTTTTGCGATGCTAAAGACACAGAGACACTTCGCTGCACCTCCGACTGCCGTCACGTTGGGACGTGCACCGCAAGCATCGTTGAGGACAAGGGGAGTCTGGTGGATAAGGATATTTGCCCTGTCGTATCTTCCGAATTTCACGAAATATCGTCTGGGACAACGTACAGGACGTGCTCGGACGAAAATGTGGATTATCTCCGTGGGTCGCTGACTGGCGGTGGCTCGTGGTGCCTGGACGCGGAATTACTGGAGACGAAGGACGGTGATGGCCATAAAAGCGTCAAGGGAGTGTGCGCGCAGGTGTCGTGTGAGGAGGGCACAGTGAGGGTGAGGCACCTCGGCAGCAGTGTTTTTCAGCCTTGCCCTGAGGGCACTGACATCCCAGTGGCGTTGAAAGATTTTAAAAAAGATGGGAGGATCAAGTGCCCCACTTACGGCGAGGTGTGCACCATTGCCGCGAACGGCAGCAGTCTTGTCATCCCGAGTGCGTTGGTGGGTGGACAGGGTTACGATCAAGGGAAGGAAGCAGAAGAGTCGGCGGTTGCTTCAGGGTCGCCTTCTCCGGAGAATACTCGTCCACAGTTGTCTCCTGTGGCGTCTGGTGCCTCCATTGAAAAGGAGCCTCCCGGTGCTTCGGCTGCGGGTGTCGCTGGTGGTGGCCTTCATGCCGGTCCGAGGGGTGATCCGGGGGTGCGGATCGAAAGTGGGGACAACACTCAGCGGCGAGGGAGGAGACCTGGCAGTGGAAGCGACGGAGCCAACAGAGCCTCCGGCCCCGACGCTTTTTTTTTTTTTTGCGCCATCACCCGGCGAGGACGTTGCACGAGCGGAGGGCGACCCGCGGGCGGATTGCCCAGCGGTGATTCCCAGTGTCTCCGCGCCTGCCACTCCGATTCCGTCCGTCAACAGCGACGATTTTCAGGCGATACCCGATGCGTTGGTACAGCAGGCCGACAGTGATGGCGGTGTGGCTGCTGCCACCGCTGGCCTTATTCCCTTTGTGCTTCTTGTTGTGGTCGCTGCGGCGGTGGTGGTGGTGCCTCTTTGAGCAGCCGCGGCGGCTGGGCGCAATCAAACTGCGGCAGGGCGACAGTATTTACTTGGCACATTGACCCCGCACTCAAGATGCGCAAAGCCGTAGCAATAACACTATGATACACTCAATGCATTCCCCATGTCCTTTTTTGCTTGCGGGTGATGGGCAAAATGACCGGTCTTTTATTGCATTGTTTGTTATTCTGGGAAAAGGTGTTTTTTTTTTATTGCTTAGAGGGTTTAACTTCCGTGGAAACTGTGTGCGAACGAAGTAACATGGAGAGAAAAGACATTTCCCAGCACCACATGTATACACTCGTTTTTGATGCGATTGGGACGAGGGGAAATCACCGTACTCTAATCATGAGTAAAAAAGTAAAGGAAATGTGCTCCAATGGAGGCGGGGTCGTGCCAGCAGCTGTTTCTCTGAAGGACAGGGACGACTGCCTCTGCCTCCGTAATTGGTGCATGCGGCTTTATCTTTTACACTTTTGCTTGTTTTTGTGACTTTGCTTCTTTTTTTTTGTGTGTGTGTCATTGCGAGAATGTGGACCCCAAATAATTTCTGTGCTTCGGCTTTTAATCTGCATGCGTGCTTTTTATTTTTTTACCTTCCCAATTTTTTGCATTCGTTTTTGATTAGCTGTGTGTGTTTCTCGGGTGCTCTGCTGCACTGTGGGTAGTGTGTCTTACTTCCCTCTGTCCCTGCTGTTCTGATTGTGAAAAGACGCTGTGGGTCAGGGTGCATGGCTCCGTGGTTGCGGCACTACTTGTTGTGGTTGCATTGAGGCAGCCCCGACAAGACTGCCAACGTGTGGCTCTTGGGTGCCTCGTTGGGCTCTTTTCCGTCTCCTGCGCGATGGACTCCCATCGTCGGCGCACCCTTTCGTGCAGTGGCCTCAGCGCAGCAAGGTGGCAGTTTTGTTGTTGTTGCTGCTTCAGCTGTTTTGTGTTTCCCTCTGGTATTGTGAGGTGCAGGTGTCGGATGTGGCGGCAATGAGTCGAAGATAAGGAAGGAGGAGGACGGTGCGTGCGTGCGGGAGGGCCCTGCGGTGTTGGAGCGGTGCGCACTGTTTGCGGGCTTGATGCGTCCCTTTTGTGCATGGCGTGTCTTGGTGTGTCCCTCTTGCCGTGTGTGGTGCCAGCCGGCTCTTCACGATTGTGGCAATGGCGTGTTGACAGCGGTGTTTGGGTTGGCGTTGGCTGTTCCACCCTCTGGGGCTACGAGGACGGATGCGTCACAATGAGCGACAACAATCGCGCAGGACGTCTGGTCTGCAAGCAAGTGACGCACCGATTGCCGACGCGGCGCGGCCCTCTTGCCTTTTTTCGTCCCTCTGGTAGCCTACAGTCTGATGTCTAGCCGTAGTGGTCTCCTCTTTTCTCACTCCTTTTGTGTGTGACCGCATGCACTAACCACAACAATTGTACAATATAAGTATTACAGAGTGCAGGTTTGTGTGTGTGTGTGCCTGTTGCCGTGGATTGGAGTGTGTGTCGTGCGTGGTGTGCGGCGTGCGGTGCATGCCTGGCTGCTGCCCTCTCCTCATGTGGTGTGCCCTCTGTGTGTGTCTGCCGCACCTCTCGTCTCCCCTGTTGCTCTCCATGTCCCTCACTGTGCAGATCAGCTCCACACCACTGAACGACCACACTCACGATTATGATGAAGTGCCGTCTGCTGTGCGCCCTGTTGGTGCTCGCCCTGTGCTGCTGCCCATCCGTGTGCGCGGAACACAGTGAGACGGTTTCTATTTCTGATTCTGTAGCTGAGAGAAACGCCGCCAGTTTTTCGGCCACTGCATCAAGAGCACCACCGGGGACCAGCCAGTCAGGGCCGCAAGATATGGTGTCCGCTGCGGAATCGCGAGAAGTTGACGGGGATATAGGAGGTGCGAGCGGTTCGGAAACGCAATCTGATGGTGCGACCGATAATTCACAGAAACATGATAATGACGATACGACAGGGCCACAAGGTAGCAAAAATAAGTCCGCAGATCAAACATATCAGAACGGTGAAGATCCTGCCGCGACGACCACGACGACGACTACAACAATGGCACCAACCACCACCACCACTGCGCCACAGGCACCAAGTACTACGACTACGGAGGCGCCAACCACGACTTCCACCCGCGCACCGTCACGTCTTCGCAGAATCGACGGCGGCCTCAGCAGCTCTGCGTGGATGTGTGCCCCGCTGCTGCTTGCCGTATCCGCGCTGGCGTACACCACTGTGGGCTGAAGAATTGTATGCGGGCTGTGCGTGCCAGCACTTCACCACGGGGATTTGTGCGCGTCCACTGTAGTCCGATGTAAATAAATAAGAGAAAATAATGATTGTTTTTTGCTTCACTTGCTTCCGCTGCCCTGCTGTGTGCTCCGCGTTGTTCCCCACATCCCTCACGTTGAGCGCGTCCCAGACACTCTGGTATGCACGACACGCATACAACTGTTTGCGTGGAAGCATGTTTGTGGATGGGTGCATGCACACTGGAGACATTCGGGTGCAGGTTTTTGTTTTTTGTGATTTTACTGTTTTGCTTTATTGCTGTTTTTTTTTTTAGTTGTTTTGTGTGTTTTTTATTTTGTTAAATTATTTCAGGGCATTGTGCGTTGTTTTTTTGCGCTTTTGTTGGTTTACTATTTTTCAAAAAATGCGTGTTGCTGCTGCCGGTGTTTTTTTACTCTACCGTGTCTTCTCTTTTTGCTCTCATTCTCCGTTGACGGGGAGTTAGTTTGTGCTGAAGGCTACACGCAAGTGACAGGAGTGATGGCGATGATGATGACTGGCCGTGTGCTGCTGTTGTGTGGCCTCTGCGTGCTGTGGTGCGGTGTCTGCGGTGGTCTTGCAGACGAGGAGACAGCAGGCTCTGGGAGTGGTGATGAACTTCCGCCGGAATCACAAGGAGTTGAAACATCTCCACAAGATCCCCAAGGGTCACAAAATAGAGCACCAGGTGGTAAAGAAAATATAACTCCCGAACGTATAGAGGAAGCTGATGATGATGATGATGATGATGATGATGATGGAGAGACAAAAGCGGAAGAAGAAAGGAGTACTGAAAGGCAGAGTGTTCAAGAAGGAGCAGCTGCACCAGACCCAGTTTCCAGGGAAGAGAATTTAAGTGACAGCGGGCAGGAAAAGAACCAGGCAATTTTATCTGCAGAGGACGTTTCTCTTTCCGGCAGTCGGGAATCAAATGCCAATCCTACGCAAACGGAATTTGAAGAAAAGAAGGACTCCGAGAAAAATCCACCTGCAGTAGAGGACGCACTTACAACAGGTAACGGAGGGAACACACTGCCTGGGGGAGTTGCGAGAGGAAATTTTCCATCATCTCCAGAAGACGGTGTTGATTCCCGCAAACAGGATGGCGAAGAGACCACGAGTGAAAATAAAAAAAATGTTCCGTCGCCTACGACCGCAGTCACACCACAAAGCCACCGAGAAGAAGGCTCAGAAGGGACTGGGGAAGATACAAAAGCAACGACAGTAACCGCCAACAAAACCGATACGACGAATACACAGAACAGCGACAGCAGCACCGCGGTGTCCCACACCACCTCCCCTCTTTTGCTTCTTCTTGTTGTTGCGTGTGCGGCTGCGGCTGCGGTGGTGGCCGCGTGAGAGTGAGGGAGAGAGAGTCATGCACCACCCACACACACACTCGTCCTTCACTCTCTGTGTGTGTGTCCCCTTGCATGGACTCTTGCCCTCACCTCACCCCACGAAGCACACACATAATGTGCCCATTGTATATATTGCATGCACACCCATGCATGCCCGTTGGTGCTCTCTTTTGCACGACACGCACCGCTGCCGTCCTGCCTGGCTGCATGGGCGGAGCACCGTAAGTGTTTTTGTTTTTATTGCATTGAGTGGGCGACCCCTCTCTCTCTCTCTCCCTGTGTGTGTGTTTTGCTTTACGGGAGCAATGAGAGTGTGTGCGCTGGTCGTCCCACGCTTCGGCTTTTTGTTTTATTGTTTTTCATTGTTTTGTGGTTGAGAGCACCCATTCCGCGGGCTGCGTGTGTGTGTGTGTGTGTGTGTGTGTGTGTGATGATATGAGTGGTTTGCGTGTGTGCTATCCGTTTCTCTCTCTGCCGTTGCTTTTCTTTGGACTTTCTTGTGCCGCACAGCTGCTCTGCATGTATAGGCGCTGACAAACACACAAGCAAATGCACACACACGCCATGTTGCACACACGTGAGCTGCCCCTGCACTGCTAGAGAAGCTCTCGGCGCGCTTTGGAATGTCGCAGCGGGCACCATTGGACTCGGTGCGTTGGCGCCTGTGGCTGCCGTTGTCGACGCTCCGATCCGCTCTGTTGGAAGTGCCGGCGTGGTCGTGGGGCGGCGGGAGAGCAACGGCGGACACGGTGACCTTTACGCGGTGAGCTCACAGTAACCCCTTGGCCAGTGGCAGTGCGGATGGAACGGTCATAATGATCGCACCGCCGGCACGCTTGTTGTCGAGTTCCCCGAAAGGAGAGCAGTGAAAGAAGGTCCGTCCGCATGACTCTTTGCATCTCCGCCTCAGGGCTGCGCATCACAATCGGGGTTGCCGTGCGGTTATGCAACAGGGTA